AAATAACCTTAACTGGTATAATTGAAATTGAAGATTGAAGCTTCTCTTTCCAGAGATGAGTACTTAGAAAAACAACAACAACAAAAAAAAAGAAATTGAAGCTTCTCTTCCCCCATGAAATGGACAGGCTCATTGTAAATATTTGGAACATTTCAGATGAGTATGAAGAAGGAAGTTATCATCATCCTCAATTCTATAGATAACTACTCTTAATATTTAGACGAACATTTTTCCAGACATCAGTGTAAGCACCTCCACATATACACATTTTCTGGTGGGAAAATATCGTGTATGCTTTTCACCCTCTCCATTATATCATATACTTCTTCTATGTCAATAAAAATAGATCTATATTGTCATTTTAATAGTATCCTCTTAAACTTATTAGAAATAAGAAGTCGATTTCTCCTTATTTTCATCGCTATGTGATAATATCAAAGCAGTTAGCTGAAGAAAAAGATTAGTTTATAAAAAACCAGTTGGCCATTCCTCATTTTTAAAATCTTATTAAGATACTGTGTCCAAATTGTGGTTCTATATATTTAGAGATAATGGAAGTTTAATTTTTAAAGGATACAAAAAATTGGGGAAATGGTTATGAAGAGATTATTTTGTTCTGTGCGAAAAAAGGGTAAATGACCATTTTAATTGACATTTAACTCACTTTATGTAATACAGGCATACCTCATTTTATTGCCCTTCACTTTATTGCACTTCACAGATACTGCATTTTTTTACAAATTGGAGGTTTTGGCAACTCTGCATTGAGCAAGTCTATTAGCACCATTTTTCCAAGAGCACATGCTTATTTTGTGTCTCTGTGTCACGTTTTGGTAATTCTTGAAATATCTGTTGTATTTTTCTGTAATCAGTATATCTTTGATGTTACTATTGTACTTGTTTTGGGATGTCACAAATAAGCTGATAAACTTAATCAGTAAATGGTGTCTGTATTCTGACTGTTCCACTGACTGGGTCGCTCTTTCATCTCTGTCCCTCACCTTGGGCCTCCCTAGTCCCTGAGACACAACAGTATTGAAATTAGGCCAATTAATAACCCTACAGTGGGCTTTAAATGTTCAAATGAATGGAAGAATCACATCTCTCTGACTTAAAATCAAAAGGTAGAAATGATGAAGCTTAATGAGGAAAGCATGTCAAAAACCAAGATAGGCCGAAGCCTAGGCATCTTGCACTAAACAGCCAAGTTGTTAATGCAAAGGAAAAGTTCTTAAAGGAAATTAGAAGTTGCTCCAGAGAACACATGAATGATGAAAAAGCAAAATAGCCTTATTGCTGATAGGGAGAAAGTTTTAGTGGTCTGGATAGAAGATTAAGCCAGCCACAATATTCCCTTAAGCCAAAACCTAATCCAGAGCAAGACCCTAATTATATGAAGGCTGAGAGAGGTGAGGAAACTGTGAAAGAAAAGTTTAAGCTAGCAGAGGTTGGTTCATGAGGTTTAAGAAAAGAAGCTGTCTCCAAAACATAAAAATGCAAAATGAAGCCGCAAGTGCTTACATCAGCTGCACCAAGCTCTCCAGAAGATCTAGATAAGATAATTGATGAAGGTGGCTACAGAATTTCAATGCAGACATTATAGCCTCATGTGGGAGGAAGATGCCAACTAGGACTTTCATAGCTAGAGAGAATAAGTCAGTGCCTGGCTTCAAAGCTTCAAGGGACAGGCTGACTTAGGGGCTAAGGCCCTTATTTACCATTCCAAAAATCCTAGGGCCCTTAAGAATTATACTAAATCTACTCTGTCTGGGCTCTATAAATGGAACAACAAAGCCTAGATAACAGTATATCTGTTTACGGCATGGTTTACTGAATATTTAAGCCAACTCTTGAGATTGCTCAGAAAAAAAGATTCCTTTCAGTGTGTTACTGCTCATTGATAAATGCACCTGGTCACCCAAGAGCTCTGACGGAGATGTACAAGGAGAGCGATACTGTTTTTGTGCCTACTAACACAACATCCATTCTGTAGCCCCATGGATCAAGAAGTAATTTTGAATTTGAAGTCTTATTATTTAAGAAATACATTTCTCAAGGCTGTATCTACCATAGATAGTGATTCCTCTGATTCCTGATTCCTCTGAAACCTTCTGGAAAGCATTCATCATTCTAGATGCCATTACAGACCCTTGTGATTCATGGGAGGAGATCAAAATATCAACATTAACAGGAGTTTCGAAAAAGTTGATTCCAACCCTTATGGATGACTTCAAGAGGTTCATGACTTCAGTGGAGGAAGTAACTGCATATATGGTAGAAATAGCAAGAGAACTAGAATTAGAAGTGGAGTCTGAAGATGGGACTGAATTGCTGCCATCTCATGATAAAACTTTAGTGGATGAGGAGTCGCTTCTTATGGAATAGCAAAGAAAGTGAATTCTTGAGGTGGAATCTACTCCTGGTGAAGATGCTATGAACATTGTTGAAATGATAACAAAGGATTTAGACTATTACATAAACATAGTTGATAAAGCGGTGGCAGGGTTTGAGAGGATTGACTCTAATTTTGAAGGAAGTTCTGCAGTGGGTAAAATGCTATCAGACAGCATCACATACTATAGCCAGATCTTTCATGAAAGGAAGAATTAGTTGATGTGGCAAACTTCATGGTTGTGTCAGTTTTAGAAATTGCCAACTTTCAACAACCACCACCCTAATCAGCCAGCAGCCTTCAACATGTAGGCAAAACCTCCACCAACAAAAAGATTACAACTTACTGAAGGCTCAGATGATTGTTGGCATTTTTTTTTTTTTGCAATCGAGTATTTTTAAATGAAGGTAGGTACATTGCTTTTTAAGACACAATGTTATTACACACTTAATAGACAATTGTATAGTGTAAACACAACTTTTATATGCACTGGGAAACCAAAAAATTGGTGTGACTTGCTTTATTGCTTTGCTTTGTTGTGGTGGTCTAGAACTGGACCTGCAATGTCTCCAAAGTATGCTTGTATATAGTTGGGAGTTGCACATAAATATAATAAGAATAAAATTATGTTTTGTCTTATTTTCTAATTAATCATATAAGTTTTCTGATTTTGATTCTTACTATTAAGGGGTAATGAGGAAGAGGGAGGAGCTAGATCTTTTCAGGAATACCAAAAAAGCAGCTCCTGAAGGAGTTTCTAGACCATCTTGGAAGAAAAAAAGTGAGTCAAAATGTTCATAAGCAAGAGAGTAATAATAGCATTTCAGGACCAATGCATACATGCTGAAGGGGGTAAAAATAAAAGAACAGTGGAAGGGAAGCAGGGAAGCCCTTCGTGAAGGACATGAATTATTACTTGGGCCTTGAATCTTCTCTTAGAAAAGTAAGAAAGGAATATAAGCATTAGAAGATATGAAGACAAGCACCTAATTTACCTGTTGCATGATGAATATGAAAGTGGTCACAGAGAGAGAGAGAGAGAGAGAGAGAGAGAGAGAGGGACATCTCTAGGGAAGGCTTTAGCTGGCTGGCCCAACATAAGGTGTCACTTAGTGGCATTAGCTCAGCTGTTCTCCCATGTGCTGGTCCCTATGCGTGATAGATCCAGAAACTCCTATTAATTCCCTGGAGCTGATTTGGATCTGGGAGTTTGACTTCCTGCAACCAAATTTACAAGAAATGAAAGTGTAAGTGAGTTACCTGTTCGTTATTTTACAGTGTGTACCAGAATGCTGGTGTTGGCAAAACTACTGCATTCTCTCTTTGTAAGAAGAAGTTAAATGATAAACGGGAGGATTCTTGGTCTGGATAGTGGTATTATTGGCTGTGTTTATTTTCTTCTCAGTGTTGATTTATATTAAATTTCTAAATATATTTCACATATTGCTTTTCTAAAGCTGAAGGAATAAAATAACGAGATTTTTAATAGAAACAATAAAGATAAAGAAAAAGTAGTGTTAAATAAGGAAACAATTGCTCAATGGTTAGTACGTGTTGATTTTGTAGCACAGCTCTCACAGTTTTAGAATTTTTGGGGTGAATATATTTTATATAGACATATATATATATATACACACAAATATATGTATATATGTGTTGCTATCCCATTGCTCTCTTTTCTCATGAAGATATTAATATTGTAGTTTGGAAGAGATTCATTTTTATACTTTCGAGCTTTTCCACATTTTACCATTGGGATTTTTATGGTTTTCCTCTACAGGACATTTAATAAAATTTCTTGAAACTTATTTTTAGTTCATTAAGATGTGTTTATGAAGCAAATATGTAGTGTCTTCTATTTGACTTTACCCTGGAGCAAAATCTCTCTTCCCTTGGATGAATATCTGTCACTATTTTATGTTAATTTTTTTTTTTTTTTTTTTTTTGAGACAGAGTCTCATTCTGTTGCCCTGGCTATAGTGAGTGCCGTGGCATTAGCCTAGCTCACAGCAACCTCAAACTCCTGGGCTCAAGCGATCCTACTGCCTCAGCCTCCCGAGTAGCTGGGACTACAG